CCCTCCTGCCTCCAGGCCAAGTTCCTGCCTCTCTGGAGAGACGATCTGCCTGTCCACCTCCACCCATTCCCTCCCTCCTTCTAGCAGCAGCTCCCCCGAAGAGAAGAGGAGACAGGCAGAGCCCCACCCAGGCCTCCCCAGTGTTCGTACCACGCTGGCTGGGCTCATGCTGGGCCCCGGGGACACAGAGGGGAGCCACAAAATGCCCACCTCAACCTCGGCCACAAGGAGAGCTCACCTGACCTTCAGACTTCTGTTTGGGGTCCTTGCAGTCCTGGGAACCTGCCTCCCCTCTGGGGCTCCAGGGCTGGAGCTCGGGGCTTAGATGCCACAGATCAGCACATTCCATCCCCTTGGCCTGTTATTAGTGTATCCAAGCTAGTGAATCTTGGGGTTTTAGCTGGGATGTGAACAGGGAGCTTACAGCCTTAGGAGCTGCATTTTGGGACCTTCGGGTGAAAATGGAACAGCAGAGCAAAGATACAGAGAGAAACCTGTTCTCAGTGATACGGTTGAGCTGCTGGATCAAGCCTCACCTGAAAGCCAACTTACCACTGGACTTTTCACCACATGAGTCAATAACATCCCTTTGTTGCTTAAGCCATGTGGGGTTGGGTTTTCTGTCTCTAACAACTAGAATCCGGATAGGCATGGGAGGGGCTCAGGCAGGGGGTGTGTGGGTCTTCCTGTCATAGCCCTGGGATCTGAGCCCTCGGGCCTGCAGGCTGAGAAGCTGGCCCTGTCTCAATACATTCCTGGCCGTGACGCGTTAGCCTGTGTGACCAAGTGTCATTTGGCGCAGCTGCAAGTTCCTGGGTGTTTTAGGAAGAACGACAGCTCTGGGTCAGGAGGAGTTGTGCTCCGTAGAGATGCACGGCCTCGTGAATCAGCAGGAGCACATTCTGACATTCCTTCCATTTCCTTCATCCTGGGGCCCAGTTCTTCCTGTGCATCATTTAGAGGCAGCAACAGGGGTCGGATGGGTGGGCATCGCGGCACCCTCTGTGCGCCAGGGCCGGCATCGGGACCAACGCTGCCCGGCAGGCGCCCCTCCCTCTCTTCCTACCAGCGCCCAGCAAACAGTCGGCTCCATCCGCATCGCTGGGACAGAGCGAACAGTCCTGACCTCGAGCCCTCCCGCTGGGAAACTGGGGCTGCTTCCATGTACCTGAGGCCCTGTCGGCCTCAAGTGGGTCTAACTGCTCCCTGGAGCCCAGCGGGGGCCGGGTGGCATAGGCATATCCCCTTAAACACTGGGAGAAACAGCCCTGCCCCCGAGCTGAGCCCAATATGGGAGCGATTTCAAGAGGAGTTAAGAGTCCAGAAAGAGACCGAGGGCTCTGGTGACATCCATGGCTGGCGACCACCTCTCCAGGCGGCCCTGGAGCGCTGGCCAGTCAATGGGATTAGATAGTCATTTCAAGATGCCCCCAAGGTCCTGCCATGCCCCAGGCGCATGGAGGCCCACAGAATGGCTGATCTTTAAATATAGGCAGCGAGACATCCTGAGAGCCACCCTCCCAGGCAGGGAAGGAGCCTTGTCCTCACAGGGCCCCACATGGCCCCTCCTCAGCCCACACTGGTTTCAGGAACACAGACCTGTGGGCCATGCCCGGGGTGTGGGGCGGAGCAGTGCTCCTGGGGACGAGGTGGACACAGCCCTGGCTTCATTTCTCCCCGCGCGCAGGAGCTCCGGACGAGCACTGCTGGGGTGCCTCCGGGGTCTGAGTAGCCTGGGCCCGCATCTGTGTGCTGCTGCCACTGGCCGGGGCCAGGGCGGTCTCTCCGACTCCAAGCTGCAGCCTCTGCCGCTGTGCAAAGCGGGTATGGCAGACTCTGCTTCTCTGGGAAGCCCTGTGGGCGGCGCCTCTTTTGGGCACACCCCAAAGCCACACCTGTTGTCTCTGTGCGCGTGGGGGACTCAGTACAATGACCTTGAGCCTAACGAGCCTTAAGGCACAGACCACACATGCAATACCGTGCACACATGTATACACACATGCACCAATCACATGCACACACGTGCAAACCCAAACATGCTCACAGATGTGTACACTTACACACATGTACACACATGGCCCTCACCAGTCCTGGGTAGCCTCCACTGTTTCTTTAGGCTCTGCCACCCCTGATGGCAGCTGGCTGGACCCCCGGGACCCGGCGGTGAGACCCTGACAGGGTCACGGTTGACCAGTGCTCACGGCCCAACCCAGTTTCTCCGTCACTTGCACATGTCTGGAATGAAACTGACCTCTGAGACTGGTGCTGGGTCAGATCAGAGGACACAACTGCGCCCCCAGTGGACGCTCGCCCCACACGCCCTTCTACTCTGAGGAAGATGTTACACAGGCTGGGTACCAACCTCGCCTCCACCACTTACTGCCTTTTCGACCTAGGGCAAATTGCTTACTTGTTCTGTGCCTCCATTTCTTCACCTGAACAACAGATGCACATCAGGAAGAGCTGCACTGCTGTGCAGTTTACACAAGATCTTCCTTATCGAGCCCAGGGCCTGACTTCAGACAAGCAGGCAGGAAGCGTGGGCCCCTGGCCTGGAAGGGGAATTGGGGTCCTCCTTTCACAGATGGGGAAATTGAGTCCAGGAGGCAGTAGTGATGTGTCCCGGGTCCCACGGTGACTTCACGGGTGAACTTGTGTGGCCCAGGCCAGCCCCAGCCTTGCACAGCCATCTACCCCGAGGTTTGCATATTGCTGCCCTCGTATTCCCTTCAGTTTTACTCATATCGAGAGCTTCAGCAGCCCTGGGGAGGAAACCACAAAGATGATCACATTACTCTAACTGGAAATTAAAGTACTGCCGGCAGGTCTAGAAGAAAACCAAATTATCTAAGTATTTCAGATGGGGTAATAAAACATTTCCAGTTTGCAGCTGCGTGTTCTGCTCCATTCACCACTTCAGTGCCCAGATGGATCCTCTGTTACTTGGTCACTGAGCCAGCCTTGAGATGGCAGAGAGAGGCAGGGGCACCACGGATGCTGTGAGGAGGCAGGCTTGCCCTGTCCTTGCAATGGCCACCTCCCTGCTCTTGGCCCTGGGGACGAGCATAGCCCCAGGCCTCCAGAGCCTGGGGTGGAGTAGGGGTTGACCTTTTAGCTTTATGATCAGAAAACTGAAAGTTCAGCCTCTGCTCGTTGTCTGCACTAGCAGTGCCAAATGTTGGCTTCCGCTGTGCCCTTTCAGGGACCGCCTTCCCTTTTCCTCTCCTCCCTTTCAACATCCTTCAGAGCCCGCTTCCTCCAGGGAGCCCACGTAAGGAATCCAGCACGTGGCTCTCGCTCTCTGAACTTGTGGAACCCACACAGTCGCAGCCCCAGGGTCTCGTGCCGAGATCTACACTGTCTCACATTGTCCTTGTGTAGACCGGGTGGGTGCCCCGTGCACATCACCTCAGTCCTCTTGTTTCTGTGATGCCAGTGGCTTCTCACTGCAAGCCCTGCTGGCTCCTTCCTGAGGGCTTCCCCTGGCTGCACGAGGTGCTCATGCTAAGCTGGGCACAGGGTGGGCTGGAAGGGCCAGGAAGCTAAGATAATTCTCCAGGGCAGCTTTCAACCAGCAATGGAGGGAAATGCAAATGAGATAACCCAGCATACACGCCAGACACTGGAGCTCTCACACTGCTGGTGGGGTGTGAGATGGTACAGCCATTTTGGAAGTCTGCTTCACAATTTCTTATGAGGTTCAACATACACCTCCCCGATCACCCAGCAACCTAACTTCTAGGTAATTATGCACAAGAAATGTTAAAATATACCCATGTGAGTTTCGGGGCAGCTTTATTCACAATACCCAAGACTCAGAAATGACTCCACTGTCCAATATGTGAACGGATAAACAAAGAGTTATATTCATTTAACGGAATAGTGTTCAGCAATAAAAAGGAATGAAGTGCTGACATGCTATGACATGGATGAACCTTGAAAACATTATGCTAAGTGAAAGAAGCCATTCAGAAGAGTACTTATTGCATGATTCCATTTATATGAAGTTCTAGAACAGGTAAACTAAGAAATGGGGATAAAAGTAACAACAGTGGTTGCCTGTGATGGAAATGTTCTATAATTGATCATGGTGGAGGTTACACTGCAGTATGCATTTCTCAAAACTCATTGAACGTAAATTGTTGAATGTAAATTATACCTCAGTAAAAACGTTCGTACTTGATCACTCCAAAAGTTCCATAGATCAATGAAGAATATGTGGAATACACATAAGAGCACAGAGTAAAAACAAAACCAAAAATCGCTTGCAGTTATACTCCCCAGAGATCATCACTCTGGACAGTTTTCTTTCTACAGTCATATTTCCCATATTTGGGGTTCACACTGCTTTGCAGCCTGCTTGCAACGTCTCCAGCTGTCCTCCGTGCCCACCCCCTACCCTTCTCCACCTCAGACTGCACCGGTGGGCCTGGCCAGTGGGAGGCAAAATCGGGAGACCAGAGGGTGAGAGGCCAGAGAGGCCGGTATTTACTCCTGTGCCTGCTCCTCTACTAGGTCACCTTGGGCTGGTCATGCCCTCAACAAAAGATGACAGCTCCTCTTGGGCAGTGGCCCTGAGGACACTGCCCTTCCCGAGTCCGGGAACCCCTCCTTCCCTCTTTTCCTTGGAGTCTGCTGACGTCACAGCTCTGCTGCTCCAGCCCTGGGTTCCCGCAGAATTCCTGCGGTGCCCTAAACCCGCGCATACCCTCCTAACCAGCCCCCTTGTGAGTAAACGCCCATGAATCGTTCTAATCTGAGCAGGCCATCAGTTTCCCGTCTGATCCTGACGGCGCACCGCTGGTGAGCACGGCTGTCGGTCCCCAGGCTACCGCGGTCCCCGCTGGACTAGCAGCTCCGACACAGCAGCCCCGAGGAGGACGCGTCCCCATAGCTACGGGGTGAGGCAGCGCTTCCGGCCAAGCAGGCGGGGAGGAAGGCCCGCCCCCGCCGGCCCGTCCCCGGCTTCCCGTGAGGCGTTGCGAGGCGCGACGTAGCCGGAAGCTGGTGGCGGTGGGGTGGGTGGTCGGCGGTCGTCCTCGGTGCGGTTCGCGGCGCGGCCGACCCCGGCCGGGACCCCGGCCCTGACCCTGGCCTGACCCGGCCCGACCCGGCGCGCAGGATCGAGCCCTCTGCCCGGTAAGCGCGCGGCCGAGGCGCCGAGGCCCCGGCTCCCCTCGGGCTGGTCCACTGCCCCTGCCGGCGGCCGCCTCCGCCCAGACCCCCACCCGCTCCGAGGCCGCTGTCCGCAGGACCTCCCCCGGCCACCCCGGGGCTAGTCCACGGGCCCCCGGCCGTCCCCCTTCCTCTGGCCGCCCCCGCTTGGACCCACACGCCCCCGCAGCTCGCCCCCGGCCCCCAGCCTTCTTTCCTCTGAGGCTGTCACGGGCCGCTGCCCACCAACACCCCCTCCGTGGGGCGAGCCGGCCCTGCCCCGTCCCTTCCTTCGGAACCAGGAGCTGGTTTGGACACAGGGTCCCGTCGGGCCGGGTCTGAGCTTTGAAGGGGCTTCCACTCCTAAGAGGGAAGGGTCCTCCCCCTCAGTTGGAGAGGTCGGTCTAATCGGAAATGGCAGCCTCACCCTTGGTGGCCGTGGGTGATCGTCTTGGGGGAGGGAGAGGAACCCAAGAAGGGACTTTGGAATTCTCTGTCAGTGCCCGTGCGTTTAGGTAGAACTGTGCTTCTCGTCTGCCCTGTTCAACAGCTTCGTCGCTGACCACCCATGTGAGAGTTAATTGTGTCGTTTAGTGCAGGCCTGAGGGTTCGGCCATTCTCTGTTTCTGTGCCGGGGGCGGGGGGGGGGGGCAGTGATAATGGCCCAGGGGATAATTAGCGTTTAAGTTGGCTTTGGCATCCCTTCCTGGGACCATTCCCTGCAGAAGTTCAGAAGTGATGGTGTTTTAAGTGAGAAACGATTGTTCTTCGGTGTAGGTGCTTCGGGGGCCTCAGGTGGTTTCTGGGAAAGATGAGCAGGATTTCTGCCTGTCGCCTGTGTAACAGCCCCAAGCGGTGTCCCTAAGTCATCCCTTTTCATCTCAGGCATTGAGGAAGTCCCAACTTCAGGAACAGCGTTCTGCCGGCTGACAAGTGGCTTCTTCCTGTAAACCGAGAAGTGTTACTTGGTTCACCGTTTACTGAGGCCACGTTCGCTTGCACAGAGCTGGGTTTGGTTTCAGGCATTAATGCAGGAGTTCTTGGATTATATTTCAAGACAAACTATAGTTTTGAAAGTTAGGAAGTGTTTGTTTTTTATGTATTAAAGTTAGCATTTCACGGAAGGAGAGGATTCTCACGTCCAAAAAAAGATCCTTTTAAATCCGAGCCAAGTCACTTAGTTTTCGCGTATTTCCCTTGCTGTACTTGTGCAGACACTCTCTCTGCCTTCTTTTACGCAGTTAGAAATTCAGGGCAGGCTCACCCCAGTTCTGACTTTTGTTTGCCTGGGTCCTGTTGGCCAGAAGGGGAGCCTCTGGGCAGGCACAGTCCTCTGGAAAGAGCTCCCAGGGGCCACCCATTTCTGCCTTCGCCCTGTGGGTGACTGGAGCTCAGCGTGAGGACAGGGTCCCGCCTGGATGGATCGGGCCCGGTGCTGGGTGCTGGGTGCTGGGCAGGATTGTGGGTTCAGGTGTTTGCCTTCGAGACCGTCATGCACAGCACAGAGAAATACAGAGCAGAAAGGTGCCTCCGGCGAGCCCTTGGTTTTGTTTCCCTCAGTTACAGAAAGCAGACATTTGTCTCCTAACCTCAGCTGGCTCAGAAGTGGGCGTTGTGGGCATTGGGCATCCTGGGGCTCAGGATTCAGGAGGCCTGGGTGTGGGGAGAGGCAGGGTCTCCTTGGGGAGTAACCGAAGGTGACTGCTGCTCCTGGGACTTTCACGCTAAAGCATTGGCAGGGAAGCTGGTTGGAGCAGTCCCTCACAGACAGTGGGGTGCAGGGTCGGAGGCTGGAGACACCGCCAGCAGCCCAGGTGTGTGGCTCTGTCCCTTAAGCGGCCTGTGTGTCCTGAGAGGATACATGCTGCCGGGGGAGCTGGAGGGACAGCCTGCAGGTCCTGGTCACGAGGGAAGGGCCAGCCTGAGACTCAGGCTGGGCATCCATGGGGTTACTTTACTGCCGACACCACGCTGGGCTCCCTCCCCATCTCCCGCCTGAAACTTACCGGGCCACCACTTGAACTTGAACTTTGCCGAAGCTAGGAGATCTATAAAGAAGTAAATGGGTTTTCTGTTCAGCTCAGGCTGTGTGGCTGCTGTTCCCCGGCAGTGTCCCCCTGAGATGCGGTGGCAGGTCTGCTGGTCCATAGGCCCCTGTCCTTGCCCTGCTGTGGCCATGCTGTCTGTCACCTCCATCCTTCAGATGGTCCCTGGGAGGCCAGCTTCTTCCCGTGTCAGGCGGCGCCACTGCTTCCGCCCCAGGCCAGGAGCTCCCTGCACTGGTAGAAGGTAGAGGGGCTGCGGGGGCCGAGAAGGTGGGGCTCCCTGGCTTCGGATACTGTCAGCCCGAGTCTGATGTGTCGCCCTGAAAAGGGGAAATGAGATTTAACAGCCAGTCTGAGCACGTTTTGTGAAGACCACCCCTTGCTGTGAACTTCACCAGAAGACGGGTGTTTTTATAAATCGTGTGGTCTTGATGGTACATGATGAGCGGCCTCCAGTAATTGCGCATTGCCCCTAATAATCACGCTGTGGTTGGCCCGGGAGCGTCCAGACTGATCTCGGCTTTTCTTAGCACGTGGAGAGCAGGTTCCTGCAGTAAGTAGCCCTGTTCCTCTGTAGCTTCCAAGCAGCTTCACGGAATTTCTTGAAGTCATACTTTGTAGTGTGTTTGCACCAGAAGTTGATCTTCTTGTGAAGTGACCTATTTGGAAGTTGAAAAGTTTGTTTTTCTCTTTCACAGCGCCATGGCCAGCCCGAGAACTAGGAAAGTTCTTAAGGAAATTAGGGTGCAAGATGAAAACAACGTAAGTGTCCGCTTTTCCTTGACACTCGGCTTAGGTTTTGGGGTCCTCTCAGAGTCCTCCCTCCCTGTCACCGTTGGCCTCCCAGCCAGCCTCCCTCTGCCCCCTCTGGGGGCCCCCCATTGGGTCTTCGGGGTCCCTGGGCCCTGCCCCGCCCCGGGTGAGTCGCCTGGGCGCTCTTCGCAGGTGTGTTTTGAGTGCGGCGCCTTCAACCCTCAGTGGGTGAGCGTGACCTACGGCATCTGGATCTGCCTGGAGTGCTCGGGGAAGCACCGCGGGCTCGGGGTGCACCTCAGGTCAGTGCCCTCTGCTCCTGGCCTGCCGCCTGGCGGGTGACGGGAAGGTGAGGGCCACCCACAGGCCAGCTCCTACCCGCTCCGGCGCTCTGGCACAGGAGGTGCACGTGTCTAATTCCAGACCGTTTGGGGTGGGCTCTTGGATGCTGGTACTGGTGGCGAGGTCGGTCCTCTGGTGTGTAGCTTTGTCCGGTCCGTCACTATGGACAAGTGGAAAGACGTGGAGCTGGAGAAGATGAAGGTCGGCGGGAACGCTAAATTCCGGGAGTTCCTGGAGTGTCAAGAGGTCTATGACCCCTGCTGGTCCCTGCAGGAGAAGTACAACAGCAAGGCCGCCGCCCTCTTCAGGGACAAGGTGAGCACAGGCCACCCGGCCGTGTGCAGGCTGCTCCGGCCATCGGCTGCTGGAGTGGTTCCAGGGGCTGAGATCTCCTGTGGGTTCTGACACAACACGGAGGCCATGTGCAGTCCACACACAGACAGGATGCGTGGCCCCAGCTCACCCCACCCAAGGGGAAGCAGGTGGCCTGTGATTAGGAGGGCTGAGCCCTCCTCACAGCCTCTGGGGAGCGCTGCATCCATTCGGGGGGTGCAGAGGGGGCCCGGGCGCCACGCCGACCAAGAGCTTGCTCACTCTGCCCATCGTGAGAGCCGGTCTCGGTGTCGGCACCCGCAGAGCCCTGGCCCGTGGCAGCCGAGCCCCAGGGGCTGTGTGCGGGGCAGGCGGCATCCACGCTGCCTGATGCCCTGGCTCCCTCTGCAGGTGGCCACTCTGGCCGAAGGCAGAGAATGGTCTCTGGAGTCATCGCCCGCCCAGAACTGGACCCCACCTCAGCCCAAGACGCTGCCGTCCTCTGCCCACCGGTAGCTACTCGTCTGGCCTGTGGGCCGGGCTCTGGGCTGGGTTTGCCCGGCTCTGACCTTAACTGTGGCTCAGGGTCCCTGTGCTGTTGTGGTAACAGCTCCAGTTGTGAGCCATTTCTGAAAGTCAGTGGGAAAAACAACTTTTTAAGTTACAATTCAAACTTTTAGTAGAAATTCAACCAGTAAAGGTGCGTCTGAAGTAGAAGCGCCAGCTCTGTGCCCGCAGCACACGGCGTCTCTGTAGGACCCAGTTGGCTGCTGTCTACGTGTCCTGTCCTACCTGAGGGCTGCCCACGTCCCCAGGGTGACCCGTCCCCCTGGCGGGCATCCTGTGTCCTCTCGTGGTTGGAGGCTGGTGTTCGGGGTGACTGGTCTCAGAGAGAGCTCCCTGTTGACGCCAGGGGTGCCCAGCGGCCCTCCCCTCCACCTCCCCGTTGTGTGGCGAGACTCCGGTCGCAAGGGCTCCAGATTCCTGCCGAGCGCTTGCTTTGGCCTCGACCCCTGCAGCCTCCCTGCAGGCACGGGCAGGCGTGGAGCTGCTGTGCCCCCCACCCCGGGCTGCAGCACCTCCCCCTGCTTCTTGCCGGCTTCAGCCGCCGAGCCGAAGCCTGAGCCACCCTCTGCTCCACGCTTTGGAGGAGCCAGGTGTGAGCAGGTGGGCGTGACGGCGCCTCCCAGAGACCCCGTGATCCTGTGGGCGTGTGCCCACCCCCGTCGGCCTCTGACCTCTGACCCTCCATTGCAGAGCCTCTGGCCAGCTGCAGAACTCCACTCCCTCCGCGGACAAGGCTTTCGAAGACTGGCTGAACGATGACCTTGGCTCCTATCAAGGGTAAGGCCTCCGGAGGGCTTTGGGGAGCTGGGGGAGGCCCAGGCAGACCTGGCCCCCAGGAGTTTGGCCCCTGCGAGGGTCGGGGGAGGCTGCTGCCCACATGTGCAGGGGGTGCGGAATCGGCAGGCCTCCTGGGGTGCTGCCTGGCAGCCCAGGTTCGGGTGGGGGCTTGAGTGGAGAGAAGACCACGGCTCACAATGCTGGGGAGCAGAAAGGACGTGCTTCCTTCCTGGAACCTGCCTGACCTGTGGTCGAGCCTGTCCCACTCCCTGCAGTGACCGGCTGTCGCTTTGGGTCTCGCCAGGTCCTCTGGCAGATGCAGCAGGAGGGCCTCGTCCCACCAACAGAGGAGAGCCTGACCCCACACTGGGGTGTGGGAGCCGCACGTCCTCCGGGGTGCCCGTCCCGGGTCTGGGCACGTCTGCACCCCCAGCTGTCGGGAGCAGCAGGGCTGTTGCTTGTGTCCCCACCAGGGCCCAGGAGAACCGCTACGTGGGGTTTGGGAACACGGTACCGCCTCCGAAGAGGGAAGACGACTTCCTCAACAGCGCCATGTCGTCCCTGTACTCGGTGAGGACGCCCGTCCTGGCTGTCCCCCGCTCCCCAGGGGCCTCCCGGAGCCTGGCCGTCCTGGGATCCCGTGCTGGCCCGTCTCACAGAGGCCCCCCTCCCTTTCCTTCACTGACGTCTCTTCTTAAAGCGCCGTTTATGGTGTTTAATCCCACGCGTGTTTTGTCGTTCGTTTACTTTGGCTACAAAACACGTCCCTCAGATTTAGCAAGGCTCGTTTCCTCTGAGTGGAGCCCGCCTGGCCGCCCACTCCTGGCAGAGCCTCCCAAGCATGTGGGTTCTGGGCCAGGGCTGCCCCAGGGAAGAAAGGGGCCGTCGGCCTGGCCCGCCGTGCAGGAGCCCGTTCTCCAGAAGCGCCTCCCAGGCTGTAGTGTGTGTGTCTCCGTGTCACCCTGCCCCGCCATGGGGAAGAGGCCGCACGCACTTGTCTTCTCAGTTCCTCGCGAGGGTCCCTCCGCGTCTCCTTCAGGTGGAACAGGCCGAACTGGGATTTAAATGAAGAGTTTCTGTTTCCAAATTGCTTTCACCTATCTCGGAGGCTTAGGGGAAACAACCTTGGACTTAGAGGAAGGAGGACAGCTTTCAGTGCCCCCAGCGCCCCGTGGTCTGTCTGGAGGGGCGGCGGGGCGCTTCGGGGGAAGGCATGTCTCCAGGGAGCCGGGCCAGGAGCTGCTTCTGGGGCCCTGGCTGTGTCCTTCCCACAGACGTGGGTGCGAGGCGGCCGGCGCGTGTCTGAGGAGCACCCCCTTGGTGGCCACGTGTGGAGCCGCCACGTGGCTTGTGTGTCGCTTCCTTTCAGGGCTGGAGCAGCTTCGCCACTGGAGCAAGCAGGTTTGCCTCGGCAGCGAAGGAGGGTGTAAGTAGCCTGTGCCGTCACGCGGCCGCGCGGGCCGGTGGCTCTGGGGGACCAGGGGTCCTGACGGGGCTCGGGCCGCACGGCCATCTGCCCTGAGGGGGTTTCGGTGAGCAGCCTCTCGCCCTGGCGAATCCCCCAGGCCCCACGGACGTTCTTTGTTGTGACGGTTGGTGGTGTACCGGGCAGAGCGGAGCTGCCTGCAGGGGCTGGGCTGGCTGCAGAAGGTGGGTGCCGGCGGGGCGTCAGGGTGACCCAGGCTTCCCTGCCTCCCCCTCCCCCGGCCCAAGCAAAGCCTGGAGTTTCTGCTGCTGGGTCTCCAGGGTATAGACAGCCCGAGGTTCCTCTTGCCCTCGCCTGCTCCTGGGCTTGAGGCGAGGCAGGATTTGGGGGTTTTGCCAGGACAGGCAGCTGGGCCGTGGGCATGTGCTCGGCTCCTGGCAGTGACTGGGTGGAGGCCAGGCGGGAGGGGCCAGGCCAGAGGCGTGTGCGAGGGTACGGGCCTGGAGGTACGGGCGAGGAGACCGTGCCGTGGCGGGGACAGGAACGCCTGGAGCAGGGACGGGAGGCCGCCTGGGAGGCTGACCCAGAGCACACGGGCCCTGGAGAGGCCAGGACGGGAGTTTCTGAGGGCTAGAGCCCAGGGAGGAGCCTGGCGCTGGGGCACCAGCGCTCTGCCACGTGGCCTCTGCTGATTCTCTCCGGGGCTGTGCAGGGCTGCGGTGGGGATCCAGGCCTTTCCCTCTTTGCTTATTATGAGAGCGGCCGGGGTGCTGGGCAGAGGTGAGAGGTGTGACCAGACCGCGCTCGGCAGCGAGGGGGAGAGCTCGCTGGAGAGGGACCTGCCCCACCTGTGGGCCCGTGGGCGGCCTGTGCGCCCTGCATTCCAGAGCAGGGAGGTGGGCGTCGGCCCTGCTCCCTCATCCTGGCTGCCCCTCCCCTGATGGCCTTCCTCCAGGGGAAGCGGATGTGGTGGGCAGCTTTGCAGGGCCCCTTAGAGCTGCTGTGGGGTGAGCACCAGTGCCTCGCGGCCGTCAGGAGACCAGCACGGGTGTCTGGGCCCCAAGGACGTGCAGCCCTGGTGGCCAGCGTCAGGCGGCTGACCAGAAAGCCCTCTCTCTGTGTTTCCTTTCAGGCGACAAAGTTTGGATCCCAGGCAAGTCAGAAGGTAACAAAGGAAGCCTCTGCATTCGTGCTCTCAAGGGTTGCCCGTGCGTGCGTTCGCCTCCCAGGCTCACATGTCCACGTGTCACTTTGGGCGCCTGCGGGTTAGCAGGTGGAGGAGGCTTAGATCCTGCCCCGTCCCTGGTAGGCGGGCAGCCATAGGCCCCTGTGCCCTTGGCCTCGTGGGGAAGGAGGCTCTGTGCCATGTCTGGGCAACCGCACACGGGAGGCCCAGCGCCCCCCAGGGGACCGGGGTCTGCATCCTGTGGCAGCAGCGTGCCTCTGTCCCTGGTTAGCGCCCTCCCTTCTCGTGGGCGGCGTCTCGGGCCCTGGTGTTCGTCTTTTTCTCACACCTTGGCTGGCAGCCCCGGCGGTCCCGGCGTGGTGCCAGGCCGTCCAAGGAGCCTCTGGGGCCAAGGGCTGATCTCTTTGAGCCCCCATCTCAACTCCCTAACCGCTCGCTCCTACCGTGCTGGAAAGCTCCCAGGTGGGAGGTGCTGGGTCTAGAGAGCGTGCGGCGCCCACGGGACCGTGTCCTGGTTGTTGCCGAACACCGCTCCCACCGCCTCGCTCTCTCTCCCACCCCCACCCCCCGTCTCCCCATGCTGTCTGGGTGAAGTTCTGGGGTTCCAAGCAGCAGCCAGAGCTGGTAAGGCCGCGTCCATGCTCGTGCACGCCCCCCCCCACCGCGTGTCTGGCGCGTGCCCCGCTCTGAGGTGTCTGTGCCGCGGCTGCATGTCGGTGCTCCCTGTCTTCACGCTCAGAGCTGCTCCCCAGCCCGATGGGCTCCCGCGTGGCCCATCCACGGTGCTCGGGCGTCCGCGTCTCAGGCAGGAGGCGCGGGATCCGGATCCTGAGGCTGCTGCTGCAGCGGTGCTGGGGAGTCCTATGCCAGTGGCGAGGGCCCCGCTCCGTGGTTGCCTCCCCTGTGTCCTGCCTGCCCCCCACCTGAGCTGCTGGCCTGGGCTCGCTCCCCAGCTCCATCCCCTTCTGTTCGAACTCCCGCAGGGCCCCTGGAGGGCAGGTGGGGCTTGGGATCCACCCGTTTGTGTCGGGGGGATGCCAGGGGCTGTTCTCCTGGGATGGATCCTGTGGGCTCCGACGGGCAGAGCCTGATGGTGGCCACCGGATGGGGTGGGCTTCCAAGAGCTGGCTGCCGTCCGAGCCCCTTCCCAGGGTGCGTAGGCCAGGGGCAGCGGTCTCCAGCCTCTGCGACAGCGCGGAGCATCGGGTGCTGGCGGGCTGCTCGCCGTCTGCAGCCTCCCCTCCGCGGGCAGGGCTCGCAGTCCTGGGGTGAACGTGCTGCCACGTACGCGGCTTTTTCTCATCGCATCTGTCCTTCCAACAGGCATCAGAGTTGGGCCACAGTCTGAACGAGAGTGTCCTCAAACCTGCTCAGGAGAAGGTAACGCGGGGACTCCGGTACTCGGCTGCGTGCGTCTCCCGTGGGCCTCATTCGGGGGGCGGTGGTGCTGGGAGGCGCTGTTCGGGCTTCAGACTCCCGTGCTCACTCCCCGTGTCCTCACGCATGCGTTGTGCCTATGGCTCTCGTCCCCCAGCCCAGCAAGGCCTGGCCTTTACTCTGCTCCCGCGTGGCTGTGTGTGTGCCCGGCCCCTCACCCCGGAGGAGGCCAAGGCGGCGAGAGAAGCTCCCGGGGGAGGGGGCGTGCGGTTTGCGGCCAGCGCCAGCCCGTGCTCGGGAGGCCAGCGGGGGAGGGTCCGGGCGAGACCGGCCCGGGCTGCGGTGTGGTCGGCTTGCTCCTCGCCCTCACTTCTGGGGAGGGGGCGACATGGCGTGGAGACAGGTCCCCTGACAGGTGTCGGTGGGCGTTGTCCTTTGTCAGTAATGGGCAGCGGGGCATCTGCCTCGGCTATGATGATGCTGTTTCGATCCACCAGGTGAAGGAGGGAAAGATTTTTGATGATGTGTCCAGTGGGTTCTCTGAGTTGGCGGCCAAGGTAGGGAAGCCCCGCCTGACAGGCGGGCTCGGCTGAAAGCGTCGTCTCCATATTCCAAGGAGCCCGGAACCGCGAGCAGGAAGGGCTGGGCGCTTCACGCCCTGTATGGCTTCTTGGCCCGAGGGGCCTGTAGGACGTGAGGAGGGTCAGGTAGACCCTGCGGTGCCGACAGCCTGAGGAATATGGAAACGGCTTGACGGGCGCCCGTCACAGCCACTAACCTGTTGCTTCTTTTCTTTCTGCCCTTGTCTTGCTGCTGCCGACCTCCCCTGGTGAGTGCGCTGGGGGCGGCCGCCTTCTCTGCCTTAGCGCCGCTGGGGGCGGGGAGGGGCGGGTTGGCGTTTGTCCTGCTTCCCACCCAGGAGCTTCTCTGCTGAGCTCCTGGGGCCACAGCCTCTGCGTCCACACAGCGGGCATCCCACCGTCCCCAGTGCCGGGGCGAACCGCCCGAGCCCCGTGGTGTCGCCGTGTTCCTAAACTTCACCCAGGTCTCAACTCTGCACTTGGCGTCAGAGCCCAGGCTGAGCGCCTACGTCTCCTTCCAGGTCCAGGGAGTTGGTAGCAGGGGCTGGAGGGACGTCACCACCTTTTTTTCTGGGAGAGCGGAGGACCCGTTGGACAGGTATACTGGCCCCGCTTCCCGAAGTGGGCCCCCTTCCGTGGCATTCTCCCCTGGGGTCTCTGGGAGGCAGGTGTGTCTCGCCCAGGGGCTCAGGGCTCACAGTGCAGAAACCCCTGGAGCCCTGGGGGTGCAGAGAGGCACGTCGGCCCCCTGACCTCTCGCTCTGAAGCCCTGCTTTCGACCTCGTGGGAGCTGCCACCATGCAGGGCTGGGGAGGGAGAGTCTCAGCCTCACCTCTGTGGGACAGGCTGAGGGAGAGGGGGTGCGGCTGGGCTCTGACCCCCCTCCCAGGACTCCGGAGCATTCAGGGCTCCCGCCCGGGCCTTTCTGCTGCGAGCCCAGACTGGGCAGCCTTCTCCTTCTCTGACCCCAGGTGGGACCCTGGGGATCTGGTGGGGGGATGGATGGTCTCGGGCCAGGCCCAGAGCAGCGGCCGCTCCAGCAGTGGCGCGTGCTGTCCTGTCCGTGTGCCCGAGGCCTGGGCGTGTTTCCCATGCTCGCGGACGGGATGCCTCAGCGCTTCCCCCTCTGCGTGCTGTCCGCTGTGCTCAGTGGTGTGACTGTGGTTTGAGGGACTGAGGGACTCCACGGTGCAGAGAAGGGTCTGGGTTTTTTTCCCCCTTAATCGTTGCAGGAAACCAGCGCTTTACATTTTCCTTCAAAACATCCTGCGTTTGGGTGGGACTGGTGGAGAGTGGGCTCTGGTGGCAGGAGGCCTGAGTCCCTCCCACAGGTTCCACGGCCTCAGCTCTGTGGTGGAGCCGCCCTGAGGCTGGGTTTCCTCTGCCCTAGAGCGAGAACAGCGGCTCTGGGACCCTGAGTGGCACTGGCTGAGTGCCCTGGTTGGGGGTGGGGCTCTGGCTGGGGGCTTGGACTTGGCCTTGACCCCCGTTCTCTGGGGAGGAGCCTGGGGAAGACCAGGCGGCTCAGGGCCACGACGGCAACCTTCTGGACCTCCTGGTTCTGGGAGCCGCTCAGAGACCGCTCTCTGTCCCAGAGCCCCGGAGGGCCGGAGCTGTCAGAACAGCGGCGGGGACAGCTCCCAAGGCACTACCGACCGGAACTTCTGGGAGGCCTTCGGGAGCACCGACCCTGCTGGGGCCCACAGGTCCCCAGGCAGCAACAGCTGGACGTGTGCAGACCCCTCAGCCGACAAGAGGAGCTCGGATGGCTGGGACGCCTGGGGCTCGGGCCCCGCGTCTGCGTCCAGCAGCGGGGGCGGCGACACTGGTGGTCGGGAGGCCTGGGGGGCCGGGGTGGAGGGCAGGGCCAGGGCCGTCAAGGAGGCGGCACCGCCGGCCGCCGTGGACGACGGCTGGGACAACCAGGACTGGTAGGGCACAGCGGCCGCGCCGCCGCCTTGCTCCTTTCCACCCAGGAAGCGCCGGCCGCTTGGGAGGACAGCCTCGGCCGGGACCCCAGGGGCGTGTGCCTACCTGTCCTGGCTCTCCTGGAGCCCCGGGCCGGGCGCTGTCGCAGGAAGTGCTCCCTGCTACTGCGGGGGCCACCCACGCCCAGCCACCACCCCCAGTGCGCTCGGTAATAAACGCCTTCCCCAGTGGCGCACGCGGCTGCCCAGTGACCGTGACTGAGGCCTGTCTCCTTGAAGCAACTTTCACTTCTCGGTCGCTCTCGTTCTTTCTTCCTCTGGAAGAAACTGCCTGGCGTTTGAGAGCCGCCACCTGCCCCCTGCCCTCCGCTCCCCAGTCTGTCTCTGCACCAGTGCTGGCCAGCGTCCGCCCGACCCGAGCACCGCCTTCCTGGCCTTGCCGTCACCCTAGAGCCCGTCATCAGCTCGGGGGGGTCGTGCAGCGGTGCCCTGGTACCCCGGCCTTCCTCGCAGCCCCTCTTCCAGCCTCCTTGCACTGTGATTTGGATCTCACTGTCGCCCAAGCCCACTCGACTTCGATGGCTGTGCGCCGGCCACCCCGTTCTTATGGTCCGGCGCTGACGACCGCGTGACACGACACCGTGCTCAGTCCTCTGTCCCCGCGCTTGCTTCTGCCGGCCCTCAGGCCGTTCAGCCGGGCTTCCCCCAGGCCTCCTGTGTGATTTGTGGGCCACGTCCCTGCTCCCTGCCCCGCGGGACGGGCCGTCCCCGTGTGGACAGCCAGATGGCAGTGGCTCATGTGGCAGGTCTGCAGCACGGCCACCCACACTTCTCCCCAAGGAAGACGCCCAGTGGCCAGCACCTCTGCCTTTAGCTGACCCTGAGGGTCTCAGTCACTGAACCAGTAGTCTGCCACACGGATCTGAGGTCAGAGATCAGGCTTAGGGTGATGAGAAAACCCAGGTCAGCCCGGGAGCCAGGGTCAAACGTGGTCTGCCAGCCCGAGACCAAGTGTCCCAGAGCAGAGGCACTCAGGAGGGCCAGGTGTGAGGTGTGGGTCCTCACCAGGGCTGGTGGGCTGCACTGCAGGCAGCTCTCAGATCAGCGCCAGGCCGGACGAGGGGGTGCAGTCTGTCCTGACACTCTTGTTTCCACGCTGTTGGGATCGGGACTCTGGGGTCCTGCCCCGGCCCTGAAGGCTTCGGGGGCACCTCGTTCCTGTCGATTCTGGTCCAGGAGGCCCTGCCCCGGAGGCCGTGTTCAGCTGGAGTAAGTTGCCCTCTGCCCGGGAGCCTCTCGCGCTGATGCGCATGGCCCTGAGGCTGACTGGTCTGAGATGTGCTCTGCTCTCAGGCATCACGTCAGGACACTAGGTGGGTGGCCCGAGACCCCTCACGGGCAAAGGACAGGCGCCCCTGCCGTTCTGCAGTTCTGTTTGCTGGGCCTGGATAGTGCCAGGCCCTCTCCTCCCGGCTGGGTTGGCAGTGAGGGCCTGAGCATCCAATCCAGCTCCCTTGCCACACACAGAGGCATCTGCGCGGCACCCTCGTCCGGGGGAGAGGGCAGTTCTATAAGGACAGTCCGGCGCTCCCCTGGCCCTGCGTAGACTTGGGGCCGCCAGCTGGCGGTCAGCCAGCCTGCGTCATCCTGAAACTGCCTGACCGAGGGCACCTGTGGCCGCCACGCGGGGCCGACTGGAGGCTCCGGGCTGGAGCTGTGTCTTCTGGGTGGTTCTGTGCTGTCCTGTCCCAGAGCAGCGCTATGGGCAGGGGGGCCCCGTGGTGAAGGCAGTCGGGTCTGGGTGGGGAGGCGGGTCGGGAAGCCAGGGCGCCGTGTAGGGCGGTCCTGGATCCTTTTCTCAGCTGAGCCCGGGTCATGCTGAACACACGGGGCCTCTGCCTCTCCGGACGACATACCCGTCAGCTGTGAACCTGCCCTCGGCCCCTTGGCCGCTGCGTGCTGTCCTCCCCAGATTCCGGCTCCAGGAGGCCAGGCCAATCCACCAGCTGAGGCCTGGCCAGCCTCTGTCACCTGTTTGCCCCAGACCTTCTGGCCAAGACACCACGACTGACCAGCAGACACCTAAAGGCAGCCCTTGCCCAGCGTAGCTTCCTTTTCCAGAGCTTTCGCAGGTGACCTGCGCTACCCAGTCCAACCATCTCTCCCAGCCAGATGGCCCTGCCCAGCGGGCCCAGGCCTGCGGCACGCCAGATGCTGGTGGCTCTCCTGGGACTCCACGCCCTGAGCCAGTCCTGGCAGGAAGATGGGGAGTAGGGCTTCTTGGGCACCGTCTGGGGGGCTTTCTGGGCAGTGGGGGTCCTGCCCTCTGCACCTCCTCCCCAAGGGGCCGGGGAGGCTCTGCTCAGCACTGAGGGCCGGCTTCTCGAGCGGTCAGGGCTGGGACTCCTGGGGCCACCTCCCCACTGCTGGGGCTGGGGGAAGTGGGGCCGTTGCTCGGGGTCCCCACCTGCACGCTAGAGTGAGGGCCGTGACGGCCGTGCCGCTTCCAGAAGGCCGACGGGACTTGCCCAGCAGGGGCAGCCTGGCTCTGTCCTGCCTTTCTGAGCTGTGACCGTGGGCAGCTTGTGCCCTGGCTGAGCCCTGACGCTGCTAGGTGGGCTGCGTGGCCTTGGGCCTCGGGCATGGAGCACGTGCCAGGTGCAGGGACTCCTGGGTGGGCACATGGGTGGGGGGCTGCCCGGAGTCTAGCCAAGAGCGCTCAGGACCCGCTGGCTTGCGAGCGTGGAGAGCGGCACCTTGGTGGGCTGCGTGAGTGTGCACACGCATGTTCCGAGCGCCTGTGAGCCATGGACGTGGACAGACACGTGTATGCCAGTGTTTGTGTGTCTGCGGCCACCAGGCCAGGCGCCCTCTGCCGGCCTCCACTTGGGACTGCAGGGCCTGCCTCTCCCCACCCCACCGCCACCCCCACCAAGCGCCAGCACCCAGTGCAGGGCATCCACTGGCACTGCGGCATCCGGCGTCCAGCCATGGGGCCGCAGGCATGGGCGGCTGGCTCCCAGGCCACGGCAGGTCTCAGAACTACCTTCGTCTCGGGTCCTCAGGCCCCTCCCAGCTGCAGGAGCACCAACCGCAGGGCAGGACTGGAGGCCAGGAGGGGCTCTGAGGGTCCTGGGTCAAGGCCGGGAGCTGGCTGGATCCTGCAGCGCCTGCCCAGTGGCTGGGGGTCGGAGAGGGGGACAGGAACCTCCAGGGGCGTTGGGAAGGGCCCTGCCCCTCCAGCAGCATCCAGCCCCCGACCTTTGGCCTCTCCCAGTCTCCAGCAAACGTCGACTGGCCTGTGCTGCGCCCACCTCTCCCAGAGCACCTCTGCCTCCAGAAGCTGAGCCCAGAGCGGGGGCGGGGTGGTGGTGGTGGCCAGAGCCACCCTGGCAGCCTCAGAGCAGCTGGGGGGAGGGGGCCGGTCCGGTCCAGGTTGGGGTAGGGTGGTTCTGGGGGGTGAGTCCTGGGGTCCAGTAGGGGTTGGGTGCTTGGGGCCCAGGCTGGGTGCCCCCCCCCCCGCCCCCGCAAGCCCTGGTTACCGGGCCCAGCCTGCGGGGAGCCTAGTCGGTTGGGGTGGGGCCTTCCGGGTGGGTGGGGAGGGCTGGGGGAGGGGCTGTGCTAGGCGGGCCCTCACGGACTGCAGAGGGTTGTAGAGAAGGGGCAGGTGTGGAGGAGGCTTGGGGGACGGGGCACTGGAGAGGGACCCATGAGTGGCTTGGGTTTGGGGTCACGGGTCTTGGGGCGCGTTGTGAGGCTGGCGTGACCCTGGGGTCCGGGGGCTGCTCCAGGCTGCCAGAGATCCCCATACCCATCACCCACAGCTTGGTGCCCAGGAGCACACGTGGTGACCTTGGTCCCTGAGGTGCGTGCCTCGTGGGCCTCTTTGGAACAGACCATGTGGAGTGAGGGATAAAGGTGTTTGGCCCCTTCGTGCCTTGGATCCCGCCCTGCGGTGCGATGGGGTCTTTTACACTGGGACCTGTGTCCCCCACGCTTGGAGAGCCGTCTTGGGCAGCAGATGGGAAGAGTGGAGAGCTGGGGAGGGGGGCAAGCCGCGGGGTGGGCGGGGGGTGGGCCGGGCAGTGACGTCGGAGGAAAGAGGCCTCATAAGCCACGGCCTCCCTGTGGATGCAGCAGGACCAGGGTAGACGGGAGTGCGCGGGACGGAGGGACGCTGCTCTGGGACTGGAGCAGGTTGGTGACTCGCCTCAGGGCCAGGTGGAGGGGAGGGGCCACAGGGGATGCACCCAGGTCTGTGATCTGAGGGTGACCTTGCCCTTCCAGACAGAGTGGGGGCGGGCTCAGCAGGACCGGATGCACAGTGTTGGGCTGGGGAGGGGGTCTGGCCCCCCAGGGTCACGGGTGGAGGAAGGAAGGCGCTGCGGAGGAGTCCTCTTCACAGCCTTGAATTCTGTGGGGAGGGGAGGGGCCTGGCTTGGGACCTGGGGTGCCCGGATAACCTGTGCACCATCCTCTAGCCCATCTGCAGCCCCGAGGACCCCCTTGGGCTCCACTGCCCTGGGTGTGTCTGGGCCAGGGCTGGCCGGAGACCTGAGATCCTGCACTACGTTCCCCTCTGCTCTGTCGGCAGAGGCCCAGAGGCAGCCCCCCAGGACCCAACCCCACTTTGGGGCTCCCCCCACCTCACTGAGAGGCCAGCTCTGGAACCAGGGGGCTGGTTGTCCTGGGTGGCCGGTCCTCAGCCAGGACACGCCCCTCCTGGGGCCAGCAGGGGGAGCGGCACAGCTGGGGTCCTGCTCCAGCAGGGGTCCCGGTCCCAGCTCTGATGCCACTCAGGGCTGTGGGCAGGGCCGCCCCCCACCTGGCCTTGGTTTCTTCCCCAGACCCCTTGGCCCTGACAGTGGCCACCCCAGGCTGGTCTAATGACAAGTGAGTGACCAGGGCAGCAGCCAGACCCCGAGCTGGCCTAGCTGGCCTGTGGAGGAGGTCCCAAGGGCGGGATGCAGAGGGTGCGGGTGGGCAGACGGAGGGCAGCTGACCTCCCGATCCAGGAAGCTCCCCCAGGCCTGTGGGATGCTGGCCCCTGGGGACAGGAGGGCAAGTGGCTGGAGGCCTCCGGGTATGGGCTCGGCCCCAGGCCTACACAGGCGCAGACAAAGAAGCTCTGGCTTCGAGGTCAGGAGAGGACAGAGGGACAGACGGACAGATGGCTGAGTGGCCTCTCCTCCTCCCGCAGGCCACACACCATGAGCATCCGTGTGTGCCCCCGCCTCGGGGTCGGCCTCTGGCTGTGG